ATGAACTTCTGCGATCTTCCTACCTCTGACTGCTCCTTTTCAGCACTGATAAACTACGTGTGTCACGGATCACGAGAAATAATAATCTGTAAATATTTAATCAAATATAAGAAAAATAAAAATGAATGTAAAGTGAGTTTATTTAATTGAGAAGTTGAAAGTTGAGAAGTTCTAAACAGTAAAACATTCTGCTATCAAAGTTGTTTTTATAATAGGCAAAAAAGATATTTTTTTATCTCGGCCCACGGATTGTGTCTTGAAGCAATTTATCCCTTTTTCCAGGGTCTCAATTAAGTCAAATGGGCAAGATGAGGGCCAACTTGTGCAATTATTCCAGCAGATCTGGACTTATTTTAAAGCCGCAAAGTAAATGCACAGAAAATTTAAAAAAATGTTATTAGTTTTCGTTTATTGCCAAAAATTACATGTTGATTATTACATGATACCGATTTGTTATTTGATTTTAATATAGTTTATAGAAAAATGTTATTCAAAACATGCTTCCAAACTATCCCATTGTGACTAAAATTTCGCAGATATCTGATTAAAATGGAAGAGTTTCACGTTTTTTTATTGCAAGTGAATAGTTGATCAAGTTTGAAGTCCTTTTGTTCTCCAAATAAACTTCTTGAATCGGTTTGCCGCAAACTTCAACAATCATAAAATTGCAGTCATTGTAATTGGTCCCGTTGACCTCTGTCTCTTCATAAATTGATCTAAACTAAAACTTTTAGGCTAGAATTTCTCGATAATACAAAGAATTAAATTCTCACTTTGACATATAATTTATGGAGAAAAATGATTGGAAACATTAAAATTCGTGCACTTGATGAACAATAGTATATATATATGATTCCGTATTAGACAATTTCCTTTTAAATCGTGCCCAATTTACACCGGCTTATAAATGTGCAAAGCAAAATTAATACCTGAATTCACTCTAACGGTTGAGTACATCTTGGTAAGTTGAAAGTGAACATATAGCTAACTACAGTTTGCACAGTTAGAACGTATTATTTAATTAAATACTTTCGACGTAAATTCCTTACTATTTGTAATAGGAACTTTTGCTTAATTAGGCTATTGCACGCTATATGAAGAGTTTTCTATTTATCTTCCATTCGAACTTTTACAGTTTTCTTGGATGCAACTTTTCTAGAGTATTAAAAAAATTGCACCAATACAATTTACCGCACAGCCATTTGCTGAATACTAGTAAACTTTTTCTACTTACTTGTTATTAGTAGTAGGTCCCGACTTTTGTAAGGAAAATATTATAGGTGCCGAAAAAAACTGGATTTTTAGAACAGGTGTTATTTGAGCGTCAATTCTTTGACTTTCATGCATCGTTAATAAAACGACTGTTAATATTTAAGTTTCCTTTAAATTAGGAAAATTTTGATGCTAACAACACTTCTATCAAACCTCTCTCTCTCTCTTCGTGTTTGGGTCAACTGTTGCATAGCAGCTTTTTGTGTATGCTGCAATTCCTAATATTACAAGAGTGCAGAAAAATGTGCAATTCTCTACCGTATGAAACAAACATGGGGGTTCAGTGGGTATCAAAAAGGTCAAAGATCTTTTACCCTCGACATTTTGAGGCTATTTAAGAGGAAAAAGGAACGACTTGAGCAAGGATTGCAGGAACTGATGTAAGTTGTTGGAGGAAGAGAAGAATAATCAAACTAGTCTTGCAACTAAAACAGCATCATTGAGAGAAGGATTACGTCAGATAGTGAGGAGATATTGTTAAGATCACCTAGTATATGGCGAATAAGTATTGACTAAACCTTAAAAATCCTCCCCGGCAAATCTCCTTCTACAAAATTGTTTCACAAATTAGCTAAGGTACATCGATATTATCGAGACGCAGAATTCGTGGAACTAATAGTGTTTATTACACATCGCAGCTACTTCCAAGCATGACCATTAAACACAACTCTGAATGGACACAAGTCACTAACTATCTGAGGAGGCCCCTGTACGCACGACCGCACTTTTTCTCAAAGCGATCGATAGGACGGCTGCACTGTCAAGGTTAATCTAGCATACACAAGTCTTGATTGTGCTGTGCACTCCACAAGTCAGGTTCAACAAAAGCGCGAATAAGAAATTTGGCATGTATCTGCTTTTCCTCCTATCGAATAAAATTTTAAAAAAATCATCCAATCAAGAAACTAATGCGTGATTTAAAAATATTGATCATTTTTTATTTTTATTTATTCACAATTTTACATGGTGATTAAAATACGCCAAAGTGGTTGAAGATCTTTGCTGTGATATTTTGGAGGATATATAAATGTTTGTTTGTTTAAGTCCATCTTATTATATTAAACATCCTATAAAATTTCCACCAAAGAACCCAAAGTATATAGCTTAACTAAAATACCTCAGGTAGAACAATCCCTTTATCATCGTCTATATTGACACCAGGCAGGCTTCAGATAGAGTCATAGTCTCAAGAAGTCTCTGGGGCACATTGAGTTGTCCGAAAAAGGAAACGGTCACCCCGTTCTGCTATCTGTGCCTGCGGATATTCTGTCAAACTACTATAGAAATTAAATTATTGAGAGACCTATCGGGACATTAGTATCACAACAATGGCTTCTGTGGTAGACTCTCAGCCTATTTTGGCAATTATGTTTTTACGGATTTAGCTATAAGCACTAACCGATTGTGTGTGCATTCTGCTTCATCCGTCACTTAATTCGCATCTGAGTCGATGGTCTAGCGTTTTCCCAAGGTATTCCAAAAGGGTTTTGATCTATGCATTCGTACTCAGGAAATATTAAAAGCAATTCCAGTATTCAACCAGTTTTCATTCCAAAGTGATTGGTTCCACCCGCAGCCGTGCTCTAATGGATGAGAAATTTAAAACTTCTAGAATAAAGAGGTCTGTTAAAATCTGTTTCCTTTTTACAACCTAATATTTTTGCGTGCAGACCAAATGAAATTATCCGGTTGTGAGCCAACTATACTTAAATTTTGCATCACATTTCGACGTAGTGGTTGGGTCTTTTTGCATTGTGGGGCTGTAGGGTCATATTTGTAATATGCACATTTTTTTTCAATCTGAGATTCATTCACAGCACCTCACAGAGTTGAGTGGATCTTAACACTGGTCAGAAAAATTTGAAGATTAGCTTGGTGGATAATTTTGGAGTTCTGGAGGTGGCAAGACACATCAATTTCCTTTCTATCCTTTCAGCACCATTTTCATTTTGTCCGGAGATCAAGAATCAGACTTTCGGATTTGATTTTTACTTAAGCAAGGTAGGCTAGAAAGGAAGTCGTGTTGGAACATCTATTACCATTTAGACACCTTTATGTGCGTGAAATTAGTTACGTTTACTCTTTCTCTGACTTGTGGGTGTTAATTGGTGACAATATTGCAGTAGGAAGTACTTTGGGAGTGGTGACCATAATCAAAGAGTGGGTCAAAATTTTCGCAAAGATTTTGAGAAGCAACAGAAATAATTGTGCAAGAAACAGCATGAGATCGTTTTGAAACAATTTTTGAAAATATCTTGATTTCTACGGGTGTGGTCTTAAACATTCCCCCAATATGTTCAAATAACATTTTGATTACACATCAGACATTTTGGTAGAAATATATTTCGATTCCGACAAGGCGAAACCGATGTTGCGATGTTTACTTTTAATTTTATTTACTTACAAATCTTACTTAGAGCCCTAAAGACTAATATTTCTCCACTATTCTTAGGTTCATAAGCAATTGCATTAGTTACAAATAGAATTCAACAAAATCACAATTTATGTATTCGTAAACCACCAAACCGCATTAAATACATTTCATTTGGATTGGCCTACTTACGATTTACACCCGTTAGATTAAATGGATTAGCTCAAATAAAATCTAAGGCGCGAAATAGGGAATTTAACATATAAGAGTTATTTTTGGGGAAAATATTATGCTCATATACGGAGAGTATTTTAGTGTTTTGATATCTACAGATAACTAGGGTAACTGAGAGACATTCACCATCAGTGCGTTTTTTGATAAACTAAAAGACCAACAGCAGCATTACCAACTTGAAATTGATATATAACGATCAAAATAAAAAAGCCAAAGTAAGAAAATGGTTCTACCTTAGGTAATAATCAAGACATATTACCGAAACTTGAATTTTGAAAATGCTGAAAAAGGCTTGATTTCAAATGAATTTCATCAGATTCGGAAAACGCAATTTCAATTACTTCAATATATTGGTCTAAGTTTTTAATAAAATTGAAGAATAAATTAAAATTTGGTATTGAACAAATTAGTTCTGCAGGATAATAATATATTGGGAGGCAAAAGCCACATTTACTTAGAAGTTGTAAAGGCGTTGTTAATATAGAATGATGCTTCTAAAATCTTATTAGATCATTAAACAAAATATTCCCCAACTTATTTTTAATAAAGAACGGTGGCTTGATTGAAATAAACATATAAATCCGTCCCACTAAAATTTGAATTTTTGGAGTATTATATGCGAATTTTACGAATCATTACGAGCGTTTTATTCAACAATTAGATTGGCGCGCGATATTCGTCCCCTTCTTTTTCTTGAATCCTCCGGGTTTGTTGACTACTTCCTTATCTGGCTGGCTTTTCAGAGTTCATTTGACAAAATTTTTCCTTCAAAATTTTAATTACTGTTGAAAACATCTGGTTTCATTAAAATAGACCATGTATAAGTTGTATGATGTATTTTTATAATAACCACTAATGCTTAAAATATTTTTATTCTGTTTAAAAAATGCTGCTATCTTTTTTAATATTGTACCAATTCATATTTATGCAAAGAGTTTGCCTTGTGGATCATCATAAATAGAGTAAAGTTCGCTTTATTAGTATTTATCTAGTTTATCTTGTGATTAGTTTGTTTGACCAAAAATCAAATTTAGGCATTATTCTTATCATCGAGTTGAATTGAATTTCGATCTTTTAAATTTCATAGCTTGTTCTGAAATTATTTTATTTACCAGCCCAACGAATGTCAACGCCAGCGCACCGGCGATTGTTGCGTGATTTTAAGCGTCTTCAGAATGATCCTCCTCCGGGTATTTGTGGTTCTCCAACTGACAACGTGATGGTTTGGAATGCTGTTATCTTCGGTCCAGAAGATACCGCTTTTGAAGATGGGACATTTAAGCTGAAATTAGAATTCTCCGAAGAGTATCCAAATAAGGCCCCCCGTGTTGTTTTCGTCTCCAAAATGTTTCATCCAAATGTCTACGCCGATGGAAGTATCTGCTTAGATATTCTCTCAAATGCTTGGAGTCCAACCTATGACGTTCTTGCTATTTTAACCTCAATTCAATCTCTGCTGGATGAACCAAATCCTAACTCTCCTGCTAATAGTGTTGCAGCTCAGTTGTATGTGGAAAATCGCCGTGAATACGAAAAACGTGTTCGTGCCTGCGTTGAAGATAGTTGGGACGATCCAGAGACCTAAATGCATATACCTTCAGCGGGTTTACCAGAAATCCAAAAAAACAGGAACAAGCGATCTATTAATCCCATGTATATACCCCTTTTCTCTACTCAAATTTTCCTTTGTTTTTTGGATGTATGCCTATTATCATCCCACTATCTGCTGTTTCCGTTCTTTCATTAACCCGATTTCTGTAATCGCTCATTTATTTTCAAGAAACGCGAACGCCCACGCAATACATCCACGAAATTGTAACCAGCTCCTGAATTTCTTTTCGGTTGGGACTCTGTCTTGTGAACACATTGCCTTCTTGGGATCATATTCGTGCAGCCTTTACTAAATAGAGTCATTGTTCGAATTTTTATTTTCTTTGTTTATTGGCTATAGTAGCTACTTAGATTTAATGTATGGTATTATATTTGTATGATTGCTTGTGCGTTGCTAAGGCTCCTAGGTTGTTGTTGGGATTAATTGTGGTGCTTATGGTTCTTCGAGCGGTATATCCTGTTAATCTGTACGGTAAATACCTTGTCAATTACGCTGGCTTTGTAGTCGTTAGGGTTTTGGTCAGTGACTATGGTGCTCATGGTTACTGTTGTTCTTTCATCTTCTGAGATGGGAGTATGGCAAGTCTCTCTTAATGAGGACCAAAGATCGTGTAAATTTCACAGTGTCATCCTTATGTGGTTACAAGAACTGTGAAATTTCCTTGGATTGCGCCTGAACAAATGTTTTCATTTGGTGCCTGTTTTACGCAAGGCTATGCGGTCCAGCTTAGGTTGATTCGACTTAAGTCATGTGTGTGTGTTGTGATTTTTTAGATGTTCCTTTCAAGGCCGTGTGTTATCCGTGGTTTCTCTTCACTTGCCACCACTAGACCAGTAAATCGGATTTACTGGCTTGCATCAGGAGATATCTTTCGTAATCTCGCCTTTGAGGTGTGTTTCTATGACAATCGAGCGCGCTATGCAATTGAGGAGGGATCTCAGCACCGACCAGCAGATATGATCTTTTGGAGGTCAGATCCTTGCGTTGTGATTGGGCGTAATCAGAATGTGTGGTTGGAAACCAGCCCCAGGGAGATTGAAGGTCGCGGTTGGCGATTGGCTAGACGTATGTCTGGTGGTGGGGCCGTCTTTCATGATCACGGAAATCTAAATATCAGCTTCCTAGAGGCGAAAAAGTATTATGATCGACAAAAATGCATGGAGCTTCTGAGGGATAACCTAGTGAAAAATTGGCCAAAATTGAATATCTTTGTTGGTCCGCGGTATGATCTTTGGCTACTACCCGAAGGTCTTTCATCAACTGATTTGGACCCTTGCAAGGTGTGTGATCCACATTTTCTCAGTAACTTTATGTGTTTTTTTTTGCTTACGATTTATCTTTACATGAATAAACGAGTGATCAAGCTTAATGATTTCACGGCAGATTCTACTGTTATTTGAAAATGCACGTGCCTATCTTATCATTTTTCTGGATTTATTATTTTATTTTATTATATTTGGTAACCTATTCTTCTAGAATGGTGGCTTACTTTAGTTTGGGATGGTTACGTTGGTTAAAATAGGTACCCACAATTTGAATGGATCCATTTCGATATTTCCTGGATGTAGTTGAATTTTCAGACATAAATCATATTTTCATGTTGAATCAATGCAATATCTTTCTCCACTTTTATTAATACCTCGTAATCTCAATTATACAGTGGATCCATCTTATTTTGTGCTATTGACTTTTGTTTCGATCGATGTAATCGGGGTGTACTCTGTAAAGCACTTGGGGGACTTTTAATTTGATCAAAAAATCTTGGGGGTCCGTAATTCCACTTACCAGAAAATAATCAACCAACAACTTCCGTCTTTCCCTACTAAGCATTTGTCTTTGAAACAACCCCACCCTCTAGTCATCAATCAAGAGTCTATTTACACGTTCTAATTTGTGAGGAACACAATGCTAGCGTGGCTGAACCAAAGAATCCCCTACACGCGCAACCACTCTGGGACGTGTGAACGTGATGCTGATCGCAGTTGGGGAACAAATGCGGTCACGAGTAGAGAGACCTCTCGACCAATGAATAATCACCTAATCATTACAGTGTTGTTGTACCCAAACAGTATTTATTGATTAAGCCCCATGTCATCATGTCAGAACGCATCTGAAACCAGTCCAAACAAACATGTTCCACATCATACACCTGCTTCCTCTATCTCCTCTTCGATGTAGCTTAGCTCATCCAAGAGGATATTTCGAATTGGGAGTTCTAGCCAAAGGGGTTATTGAACATAGTTCAAGTCTTATTTGTACAGCAATCCGCTATAAACTAAGCCATATTGATTTACTCGTTTGGGATGCCTTCGAATTGTTTGCTGGAAATAAGCTTTACAGATCTCGAAATCTCGTTAGATAAGGAGATCACTATTCAAAGTTCATTTCAATCGACCACTTTTGTTCATTTCTTAATTACTTATTTTTCATTCATTCATTAGCACTTTACTATATCCTAAGGTTATTTTTCACTGTTTATTTATATCGATACTTTCTGTCAAGAGTTTTTTTAAATTACATTCTATTCTATATCCATTCTTCAAGAGTATTGTTATTTATATCCTATAATGTTGGGTTAGAAGTACCAAAGCATTAAGTGAGTTAACTATGCTGCTGGTGACTCTAACAAACCTCCCTCGGAGAATGGTTAATTACGCCCCATATATTTGCAGATTAATTCAATAGGAGAAGTGTAGCTATTGTTCACGGACAATTCGGCAAGTTTATTTCAATAGCAGAATTGTCCTATTTTTCCATTGATATTTTGCCAATCGCTCTAGAATCTCGGATATCATGGATTATAACAATAGATCCCTGTTGATCTGTCTAGCGTAAATGTAATTACGAAGATCAAAGATCTAAAATTTGAGCCATGGCTCCTTTAGTTTCGTCTTAATTATTCATGATAGTCTTGAAAGTAAGAAATCGATAATTACACTGTTTCAACTGCCTTAATTGTGCGCAGCTGGTTTCATTTTCATCTGAGCTCTTCTTAGTTGTCATTGTCAAACAGTGCCTAGATTGCCTACGTTTTTTTTCTCTCCATAGAATCACCTTGACACTATATTTTCTCCAAAATAAAAACTTATTTCCTTTAAGTAGGCATTATTTTTAAGTGGACTTCCATTACTGTGCAAAGGTTCACTTTCTGACGTTATTATTATTATTATTATTCATCAAGGTACATGCTCCCTATGCGCAATTTCTCGCTTAATAGTTTACAGCGATAGATCAACTTCATAAAAATCAAAGTTTGTGGTTTGTAATCAATGTTAACGCATCGGAAGGGTTATTAGTTGGAGTCTCGGTTTTTTAAAGTAAAGGTCTGGTTTACTTTTTACCTCGAATTCTTTCTACGTTCATGCATGCTCGTGGTCTTCCTAGTCTGTTAAGAACCTTCAGCTGGAGATTTTTTGTAGCTGATTTAGTTTAAAATCTGGTTTTGGAGTCTTGAATTATTGAACGTTTGTCTAAAAATTCCTATTGTCTAGATGGTTGTGGTGAGGTGGGGGGGAGGGGGGGGAAGGGGACTCATTAAAAAGCTATTTCACTAACTTTTAGAAATAAAGTAGTCTTGTTCCAATCTCCGATGTTCTAGTAGACTTCCCAAGCCCATAAGGGAGCCAATCAGGATGGTTGTTCTTCCACACCACTGTTTGAGCACTGATGAATATCGATCCCGTTGACTTTGATTTGGCAAACTTATTGTTTAAAAGTAGATTAATTTTCTATCGGTGGCTGTGCTTTACAACTTTTGAAGCATACGTCAATTGAGGCGTTGAAAGTCATCAAAATGTACGCAGTATGAAACCTTGCGTTTGCTTGTTCTCGGATCAATTCAACTCAGATTGGGACGTGAATTTATTCGGTTATTGTTCTCAAACATGATAAGTTAATATTATTCCTCCTCCTTCCTTTTCATCTGAATCAACTTGAACTTGCCACGACTCTTTCTGCCCTTTTGTTGTTGTCTTGCTTTTCTTTAACGCAGCTTATCTGGAGACTCTCTATTTGCTTGCAAGTTCCCATAATTTTTAGAGTTTGCAGGTTGCAGCGATTTCTTAAACGCTTATTTAATTTCTATTTTCCCTAGATCCCAGAAGGTGCCAAGAAGATATCTGGATCTGCTTCTCGATTCTCCTCAAAGATTGGACTTCATCATTGCACACTTCTCTTCAATGCAAATATGACGTCATTATCGTCTGTTCTTCAACCCGCTGTGGTAAGAGTTACGAGTGTTTTCATCAGCTCTCCTTAAATTTGCTCATGGTGAATCACTCCCCGAAATTTGATGACTTCTTCACTGTCCGACTGTCCGTCACAAATGCCTATCAATTAGTTACTATACTGTGTGCTTGGTTTCTATACTTACTATTTAGATCCCGGATTGGAACTTAAATTGTTTATAAACTTTTTGATTCGTGGCACATGATTCGCTGTTGGGTTATACAATAATAGTATTTATAACAAATGGCAGACGTTTTGATAGTTATCATTAGCCATTTAGACGACTTCGGACTTCACAGAGGGTAGGAGGAACATCAAAGTGAGAAGAATTCGGAGGGGGAATAGAAGAGTGATTCACAGATGTAAAAGAAACAGACAGACACAAAGGCTCGGAAAGGGTAAGATGAGTACTGTGGTAGGGTTCGAATATGACATACAGTGAGGGGTGATGGTTGTTTGAAGTGAGAAGTCAACTGCCAGTTAATAGACTTTTTTGCCGTATGATTATACGTTGCCCAGGGTGCACCACGAGGAGGTAAGTCTATATACAATAATAGTAATGCTAATCGTTTCGCTTTTTGTCCTACGTATCAGGGTGTGAGTGTGGAAATCTAATAATCAATAAAATGGTGTCTGAAGAATGCAGCCTACCAAATTTTCTCGTCTGTACAAGAAGTATTCCATTCAGATTCCCAGTAATTCCTATGCATTAACACTAACTTAATTTTGTGTCATTTTTGTTCTCTGATCCTAGCCGGAGATTGTGTCGCATGCCTCAAGGAGCGTTAGGAGTGAAGTGGCAAATATTGGCGTACCGGAGGAGGAACTTAAGTCCGTACTCTTTAACGCAGGTTTTGATTGGCTGAAAATGTATACACCGGTACGTTTATTCCTTTTGAATTGTTTAATTTTTTGACTGTTTTCTTCTTTAATGAGTTTAAACAGCTCTTTTTCGCCAAATACTCCCACACACTTAACTTCTTAAACTATCTTTTTATGAAGTATTATATAGTTTTGCCTTTTTGTGGCTAAGCGATAGGAATAATCTAGTTAAGTAATCACATTCAATTCCGTTGAGTATTTTCATACTCCATCCTTACTATCTGCAAGCCGAAATTTCCGTTGGGGAGGGATAAAATCGAGTTCTTATTTGCTATAGCGAAAACTCATTACGTTTCAACACGAACTCTGAGTAGAGTATATCATACGTCGTATTAGTTCAAAAAGAATTTAATCGATAATACTGGAAAGAGGAGGTCAAAAACATACTAGCTACGTCGAGAAAAATATTTTATCCTTTTAAATAATTATATTTTTCTCCTTGGCATATATATTTTTAAAAATGCATTCGTCTATGTAGATTTTACCTGTTTACTGATTTGAAATTGACAACATTGAAATTAAATTATCTGTCTCATTGGCGCACCTTTTCCTTGTTGACATTTCTCTGTAAATTGGTACTCGCTAGCGCAATGCCTTTGAATCTAAAAAACGGTTGTTTTTTTATAAGAGAGTGGTGCTTGTGAACTTGACTATCTGGTACTGATTATACAGACTGATCGAGAGCGTTCAATTTGAAAATCATACCATGTAGATTTTTGACGCATTTTATTAAGAATAAACGTTTTAATAGAAAGTTTTATTGGGAACCTTAAGTCGTCTGTCGCCTCTTAAACACCTTTGCCATGGCATCTGTTTTCCAAAATACTTATCGAATGCCCTTGTATCGGGCTGAATGTAAACTTCATTTCTTCACGCGAACAATTGGTTCCCAACTTTTACGGTGTGACGGTAATTTGGCGCATTCTAGAAATTAATTTCTTGGGGAATGATGATGTGTACTTGGTTTATTGGAACCTGAATAACGCAAGGCGTTTTCCTTCTACAGCAGATCGATGAGGCAAGAATATAACTTTTCAAAATCACGTGTTTATTTCGTAATTGATGCATTTTCTTTCATAATAATCCTTGCACATGTCATTTTTAAGAGGTTATAAGCTTTATATTTATCTGTGTGTAAAAGGCCTCTATTATCTTTGGTTACACATCAATAAATTGTGGACTCATGTTGTAGAGTGTTGCAACAATTTTGTCATTTTTTTCCTCAGTTGAATTCTACTCAGAGCCTTATACGCTCTATTGAGTATGAAAGACCAGGGTGTATATGATAAGTTAAACAGTCTCATCAAGAAAAAAATTGAACCAAATTGAATAAATTTAGAAGAAAATCAATAGGCAACAAAACTGCAACACTGTCGTGTGGTTTTTCTCAAACTAAATGCCATTAAAGTCAATCCGACATCAGCCTCCGAATCCGGGACATTTCTTATTTCACAGTTTTCATTGGAAAGGGTCTTAGTAGTTCTTTGGTCTTTGTAACACTGGCACGACGGTCAATGTCTTTCATACATGAGAGTCTACCTGGTTAAAATCTAGGAAGGTTAGAGGCCAGGTGGGGTGGGGAACTGAACCCTGCTGCCGCCACAGTACATATCACATATTACTGGCTATCTTTATTCGTTTCCCGGTCTCATCTAGTAAAGTGGTCAGCAATATCACGTGGGCTTCTGAATTCAGGCTATTCTCCTCTTTCAACAAACACCAATGGAGGCAGCACATCTCATCACACTAGAGGTCAGTGGAGGTGATAGAGAAGAAGAAAAGGCGGAAGAGGAGGGTGGAGGTGGGGTGCGTCACATGCAAAAGCACGAAAGTTTTTGAAGAGTCTGTATGGCTCAAGGAGTGTCCTTTGCAACGTATGAAGTTCAAGCCATCTATTGCCGTGTGTGTGCTGTGATATTCATCTTGACTAAAGTTTTGCTCATCTGAAAAGATTCACTCTGATTGTGCCACAGAATGAACTGTCCCTTTGCTTTCGTGAGTCAATTGTACAGGCTGTTGAGCTCTGTAACAATCGGTTATGTGAGCTTGTGATGGTGAATGTCTTCATTGAGTGTAAGTTCTGTGTTGGAGATTGGAACATTCACTTGTCTGTGTCTACAATGTCTGATCTTCAATACCCGTGTGTTTGGGCACTTTTTTATGCATCATGTTTTCGAGTAACTCTGAAGTTCGATCAGTCCAATCCGATTAGCAGTCTCATCGTCTCCATTGCAATGTTCCACTCCATATTGGTTTGTTGATGGAGCAATGTACAGGAACCACAACCTCCTCATTTTGGTGACCACACGCGTCATCATTATGCACCTTATTCTCTTTCATGATATATTCCAGTTGCCATCGCATATTTGAACGACTACGGTTTTGATCTTTTAATGGAACTGTGGTGTATTGGAATATACATTTCACACCTGAAAGACGCAATTAAGAGTTACTCTGTTAACTATTTTCGAATAGTTGCATCACATTGCATTTTGCATGAAGTCTGCAAATTTTGATGATCTCGTGTGCTGTATCTTAAAAGCAAATGCACTTTTAGTTGGAGACTTGTGTAGTTTAGTCGTTAGCTCAATATTAATTTCTATCTAATTTGGGCTAATGGTTTACTTGAGGAGCTCATAACCTAAAAGTACAAATTGTTGGAGCGTACTAGATTACGTATGCTGTGAGGTCCTCGATTGCCATGTTTTTTTCAAATTGTGCAAGGAGGTGAGTTATTTACAATACCCATATCAATCAATCTTAATGCAAATTTCGCTGTCAGTATAAATCAGGCTGACAGAGTTTGCTAGTGTGTCACTGTGGTCTCAACTAACTCCTTTTGCACATTCCAGAAGTCTTCGGGTTCCACGCCCATTTGGGCATAGCCATTTAGTCACATATTCGATACCAGTAGATAGCAATTACTGCCTTTTTTCACACAGAATGACTTCTCCCATATTCTAGAGGAGATTTCCAATAAACTTGCGAAACGCTCTTTTTGGGCAGATTGAGGGGGAGGGGGGTAAATTCTAATTGGCACAATGAGGTCCCACAATATTATTCTAATTCGAGCTAATAAATGGGGGGGGGAGGTGGGTGGTCTATTAAGTACAAATTTGAGGAAGGTGAGTTCAATTACGGGTTATTACACCTACAAATAGCATGTCAGCTGATTATGTAATTAGGATACCATGCGCCTGTTGATCAAGCGAAATAAATTTCGTCAAATGATGCAACCTGCATTCATGATACTCCATAAGTTTGTTGTCATGGCGGCGTATATTCCTATTAGTCTGCCAAACTACACTAAACAATTCACTCTCTTTACCAAAGTGATCGTTTACTCCAACTAAACAATGATCGTCTCCTATTTAAACGCCCATTCCAGCTCCTTGGCCAATCCAAGTTTGACCCTTTGGAAATTTTTTCTATGCATATGATGATGAGATGTACGTGGAATACTCCGTGATGACTTGCTGAAATCGGTCGAAGCAGTTATAGCCGAAGGGTATTGCCAACAATTGAGAAGACAAAACCCGAAATGAAAAGGTACACATCCAAGTTTGTTGGAAAGGAAATGAATAATCCTCAGCGTGGCCGTGCCATGCACCGCAAAGCAAAAGATGACTTTCCGAACATTGAAGAATGAAATTGATAGATTCCGTCACACGTTCTATTTCTGTCAGACCTGTCCCCATCTGATTGCCGTTTTTTTCTGTGCCATCTAGCTTACTGTGTGAGAGAGAAAGTAAGGCGATTTTGAAATGCATCCGAAGTCGGAGACCACTTGGACGAACATAGGACCAACAGGAGATTCAAATGCTATCTTAGCTTATATTATATCGTATTTAAAAATAAATTAAGCCCTACTGTTTACTAAATACACGCAGTTTCTTATTGGTCTCCTTCATGTTATTACTAGTGGGATAAAAAATTGATGCGTGCCTTTATTTTGAGTTGACTAGTGGGGTGGGGTCATTTCATTCGGAATTTGCACTTGTTCAAAGTAAAGTGAATGCATGGCTATATTTGTGATTCTTTTGCGTTGTTTTTTTATTTCATTTGTCTGCAACCTTCAAAAATTGAGAATATGCTCAGTCTCAAAACAATCCCTCAAAATTAGATATTTTCTTTCCCATAGGAGCTATGTGATTTATAACCCTGTAATCCTGCTTCTAAAGTGAAACCTTCGTTAATCCGGGTTATCGGTTATTAGTTTAACTTCTACGAATATTCCGGTTGTACTGGTGAATCGAATACAGCAACAAATTTGCCTACTTTTTCCATACAATTATGATTAATTGCTTTGATAATGTGGCAGTTTATAACGTGTATTAACTGATGTGAGTTTATGACATACCAATATCTCTAGGCCTTATTAGGTACTATCGCTACCCTACATACCGAAAGAGTTTCTTTTCTATCTCAGTTTGCTTTCTTTTCTAAATTTGAGCACATTTTGTGCTAATATTTGTTTGTACCCCAGCACTCAGCACTATAGTTCGAGTCCTCAGAAATGATATGTTCAATTTCTGGATCGATCAGCTAATTGGGTCGCAAATATTAAGTAAACTTTCATCTCTTTCAGGATAGTCTGGTCGAATTGGTAACCGTGAATCCCGGAGAGGAAGGAAAGTGGGTCAACCCTGAGGCTTTTGAAAAAAATCTTACTAAATTTAAATCTTGGGATTGGGTCTACGGAGATACGCCTACGTTCACCATTCCCATGGAAACGGACGATGGAACGGCTCTTTGTCTGCACTGCGCAAAGGGTCGTATCACCAAAGTGGAGCAGACTGGAGGTCCAGTCAGTGACGTACCTCTTCTTCAGCGTTTGTCATCTGCCATAACCGGCAAACAGCCCACTAGTCCGTGGGTGGATAAACTTAACGAGGCTCTTGTTGGTAGAAAGCTCGAGTTTAAAGAGATTCATAAAGCCCTACTCGATATTGAAATGAAGTTGAGCGCTGAATCTGGCGGCCCCAAGGATCCCTATGATCATGTCTCACAAATTATTGACCGCCTTCGCGGGATGGCCACTTGTTTCTAGTTCCTTGTAATTGGCCCCTCCCCCTAGAATTTTTCTACTTTTTTACGCTAGTAGATTTTATAATACACCTTCTACTTATTTTTTATCAGTAGCCCATTATTACAATGGCATTCGTTTAATAAAAGTATGTATATTTTATCTCAAACACAGCACATGATGATTAATTTATAGTGTTATGGAGAATTTGAGGAAGTGGCATTTCACAGCACATTGAGGGAGGTAGAGGAGGGAGTTTGAATCCATGTTCATGGAAGCAAGGTTGATCATTTTCAGCATCGGAAAAGAATGACGCCGTTGTATATAAAAGATATATATATATATATGTATAGGTATATAACGCTTGGGTAGATTTGCTGTTTGCTTGTACTCTCAAAATGCAAAACGGGAAAAATGGCTTTTCAGGGAAGAACTGGGACTATAAAACAAAATTATTTTCTTGTCCTTGGTCGTTAGAAGATGCTAAGACGTTGAATTTTGATCGGCCGCGACTGATTGAGCGTATCTTCCTAAAAATATGAACAAATAGCTGGCTTTTAGATTTCAGTATTCTTATTCGATAAAAGTTAATGCACACAATCGGACCAAGCTTATTGCAATAAAAAGCAACATGTAGAAACGAAGTCAAAAAATAATTAACATTCCCTGCATTTTTACCTTTTACATTATCTGGTTTTCTCCCTGATTTTAACGTATTGTTAAATACTCTCTCGTGGTCACTTACGGTCTAATAATCACAGTGGTTTGCACTTTTGGTTGGCGCGCATTCAAAGACGGGCATGTTTGATAAGAAGGATCAGTTTGATTGTTACGCCGACGAGATCGATTATCATGAGCAACGTGGGTGAGATTAACCTCTGGAACTGGTCTTGGTGTCAGTAGTGGGAGGTACGTTGGAAAGGACTTATAATTGGTGGTCTATATAAATTAAGCATGAAAATCGATCGATTAGATGTCGAAAGTTGGAATTAGGAGGGAGAGGGGGGGGAAGGGGTGGAGGGGGTGCGAAAGCATGATGTCAGGGTGCGCAGTTTCACGTGATGGTTTGTGTGCGTAGTCGTGACTGAGCTTAATTACCTTGTTTTGAAATGTAAGCATCATGAGACAATGGTGAAACCTTCTCTACCGAAAGTGCGGCTTCTTCGCCTGCAACATTATTGACAATAGAACTAGCCTTTATGTGCTATTTATAGCCTATTTTGGCTACATATAATCTCGTTTAAAATCCAAATGGGTTCGCTAAACTTTTTATCTGGTGTGGTTTAAAATTGGTTTCAAAGGTTACTAGACTTAAACACAGTAGCGGTTACCTAAACCTTAAATTAGTAGAAGACCCATGTGGAAAGGAACCAAAATCTCACGAAGTTTTATTAATTAGCCTAAGTTATAACAAGCTAGTCCGAAAGTATTTCAACATGTTATTTAAATAGCATAGGCCATTAATTAGCCACCATGTCAAGGATACAAATTAGACAAAGGGAAGTATAACACCCAGGTGTTTTTAAGCATTATTATTTTGTGAATGAATCGCATTTTACAACGAAATATGTTGAACATTAATAGCGGGGTGTTGCAGAAGAATATAATTGCCAAGTTTAAATAGTGATATGGGAGTGTTAACCAATTATGCGATGATAGTCAAGTAGCAGGTAATTAGTTGATTAAATAATAAAGTTAAAATCGATTTATCGAGGCATTTACAGGCTTACATCAAGAGCACTGACGGGGTAATTGGGGAGAATAAGATAGCATTCGTTAGTTAATTGATTTATATGGTGCGATTTGACAAAACAAAGGATATAAATATGCGCCAACATACCAAAAATTGACATTGGAGAAACAGTGAATATGCTTACGCAAATTGTCAGTTATTAATTAACTTTGAATTGATTATAGCGTTTTAAACCACATTGAATAACAAGTTATTGTTTTGTTCAGTTACTTGGAGTATGATTGCTCTTCCTAATCAATGGCCTTCAGAGCCTTTGAGTTAATTAATTCAATGGTACCTCTAATTTGAATTTTAAATTAAATTTCAATTAATCCCCATGGAATTGGCAAAGGAAACCCTCCCCCCTCCCCCGATTATCTTCAAGTAGAATAATAGAAAGCCGATTCGAGAAATAATAGCTGAGAACCAAGTATATTTTAAGAGATGCTTTCAGAGTGGCCTATCCTTCTTAATGTTGAATTTACTTTAAGGAATAATTACTTCACATCCGCACAGATTAGATCGATACACCTGCTTGATCTTATGTTGAAGGGATTTCTTGTGCCATTTAGATCATAAGATTTAGTGCTTGAAGTTACCAATATTTACATTAATCTACGGGCAGGAGAGCTAACGTTCACAAAAAAATTTCTCCAAGATAATCTCAAGCTTATAGCTCTCAACCATCTCAATCGAAAGTATTCAGTTGTGTGCAAGCATATCGATATTTTGCGGTCACAAGCTCCTCCACTTTTTATTAATCAAACCTGCGTATTCAAATCGTAAATTGAGTAGACTTTCCTAACAAGGGAAACGTACATGGATTTAGTGGTCTGAACAGCGGTGACCATAGCAATATTTTTATAAACAACCTGTAATATCGCAAGAACACCATAAATACAGTAATATTCTCAGTACTTAATAAATTAATCTCAAGGCTCCTCTACTGCATACGAACTTTGCGTATTGCTGAAATGGGTCTAAGTAAGAATCAATTATCAAAGGAAAAATCTCTATTTCTCCCTGTTAAAAGAGGTGTAAAGTCACTAAAACGTCTAATTCTCTTAATAAGCAGTTACTATTATATCAATGTAAGTCTGTTATTTGCTCTTTGCGGCTTTGAATAAGTAATTTAAAAATGCGTAAACCTACCGTTTCAGTAAGTAAATTTGAGACCAGAATATCCTAAATTGGCTTCACAATTACATATCACAAATCTAAATTCTAATCCTATTACTTGGGTATGAAATTAGGGAATTTTGGTTTTTGAAATAAATTTTGGTATCACTTGCTCATAAATCTCAACTTGACATCAGAAAAGCTGCGATGCGAAGTTTCAGATTTCAGCGAGTGTGAAGACGAAAAAATTCCACGCAAAGTTGCTTTACCTTGTTAGTAAATGCCCGATTTTATTCTTTTGCAAAACAATGCATATACGTGATAGTAAATTAGGAGATAAGTTTGCTCTATATATATTTATAGATAAAAACAAACAAAAATGTTTCCACTTAGTTAAAGAGTTTTGTGGAAATTGAAGCTGTAGAATGTGAGATTTTTTTGGTAGAACTGACTTCGGTTAGATTCAATTCAAGTTGCAATTCGAAAGCTCCATAATATTCAACTCATAATTTTAAATAATATTTAACACAGCCATCTGTCATGGTTAAATTGAGTTCACTCTTTGGTCCTAACTGCCTTGTTTTTTTCCAGAATAAAGGACATTTAGACAGCCTCCTATCATAGCTGGACACAATCTTGCATTAAATCAACTTAAACACTCCACTCATTCCTGCCCTTCCACGACTTTCAAGTCATTACATAAAATGCCTTCGATCTTTTGCGTGAGTAGCTCAATGGCCACCTCGGACTTCAAATATTTAGAAGAAGCTGCTGTATGTTATTCGTGTAATAAAGATTTTTTCAGAGTAATAAGCAACTCTGAATTATCGAAGACGTTAATTAAATTAGTCACTCGAAAGTGGAATATATATATACTGGGGTTTATGCCACATGCACTGCAAGCAAAAGTGTGCTCTAAAAGTATTCACTAAGTGCACTCACCTAGAGTAGTACTTTAACAACAAACACAACCGATCTGCCATTGGGCAGATCGCAAATAACAATACGGCTAGTAATGTAATATACCCACGAAAAGTCTTCAAAAATCAACATAGGAAATAAAGGTATTCAGAACTTTTATTCTCTTACCTGTCGATTGGTGGCTTTGCTATTTAGACTTGATCGATGTTGAAGACTATTGGAATTCTTGGAAGATCTTGTGAGGGAATGGGAGGAATATCGCTTTCGGTCAGATGGATAGGTGGAGGAGGCGGCGCGATTATAATCAGTACCCCGAATTGCTACTGCAGGTGAATGAGAACGGACAATGGCATGTGGGGAGTCCATTTTGTACTTCATTAAGTGAATTTCAGAAGCGGCATGGGACGAAGGTAGTCGGTTCTGAAACAAAGAATATGAGCCCCTTAAATAAAGCGAAATTAGGTCAGATAGCAGGGTATTCTAATAAAAATTTGAATTAAAAATGGAAAGAGGAATTAAAAAATTTATATGGAGTTCGGGATAAATTAAACAGTTTCATCAAGAGAAAGAGCAAAATTAAGTATCATTAGAAGTGAATCAATAACCAACGAAATTACAACACTATCGAATAGTTTTACTCAAAATTAATGCCATCGAAGTCGATTACAGCATCAATCCGACACCAGCCAAGGAAACTGGAACATGCTTATTTTACAATTGCCATTGTAAAGGTCGCGTAAGTGCAGGGTTTTATCAGTAATAGCAAAACGACCAGCGTCTTTCAAGACAGCGCTCCATACACGCATAATAGTCTACCT